TATATATAATATATATATAAAATATACAGCTTACAGTTTTGTAGTCCTATTACAGTTAAAGCAGACTGAAAGGAGTGAGACTTTGTTTAGGAGCTCAGATCAACAAACACGACATCTCAAAACCCCAGCGGGAGACAGCAGATTCTAGAGGCCTCTTCAAAGAGCACAAACTGTCTCTGCAGGAAGCTGAAGGTCCTGCGTGTGGAATGATGCCCTGTAGGAATCAGGAGCCAAAACTACAGCAGTGCTCTGTACCAAACCGCGGCAGAACTAACTTGCAAGTGATCAAAACTGGAATCTGGCCGCTTTGCTCTGCAGTGGACCAGCAGGACCCCTGGGAAGCCTCCTGGGTCATCAGTCTCTAGGCTAGCTTTGTAAAAGCCAATCTCGCTTACGCAGCACGAACGCTTCTTCACAGAGCTGGAGGAAACGGGACTCGCTAGAGCTCTCCGCAGGCAGGCTGGTCCCTAGATTTGGTGAAGAAAACATCATCCACACTTCTTCAGATCTCAGAGACGCCTGAAAATGTGCTTTTAAAACACAGTTACTTGAAAGTAAAACCAAAAAGGTCACACTGTGCAGCTAAGTGCAGCACGTCTTTTGCTCTACTCAGGACCTGTGCCCAAGCATACTTATGAAGCTAGGGAGGACAGACTCAGCAATATGGGTGCTTGTTTGAAGCCTACAAGAAAGTGCAGCTGGCTGTGCATTCATAGAGCATGGCTGTTCTCTAAGGCAGTGCTTCGGGTGAATCAAGAGAATAAGAAGGCCTAGTTCCACGGGTTCATTTCCTGGTACCAATAAACGGGATTTCTGGTTTCAAAAGCAGCCTGCTTCTAAGGCCAAGCGTCATGTCGCTACTGCTTCCAAGTAGCTCTGCAGCTTACGGACGGTCGTCTCATCCAAGGAGAAGAGGTCAAAGTCAAAGGTTGTGTTGGTAACATTAAAATGCCCGGTTTCCTCAATGAGATTTACAATCTGTACAGAAAGGAGACAAGCAAGGATGTATACAGAGACCCTGTAAAGATTAAGTACAGCAGAAAGGCCAGCAGACACAGAGCAACCCAGCCAGTCCTTTTCTCATCCCTTTGGAACAGCCTCAGAGATGAGAATGTCTCACAACATGAAGGGAATCCTCTCCCAAAAAAGCAAACCAGCTCCTCCCGCACGCCTGACTAGCTCAGTCCAGAAAGCAACGCGGGCACATTTCTTTCCTTTTCGGTTAGACCGAAAGAGCCCAGCTTTGGGACCACTACCAGGATGGCTGAGGAAGGACGCACAAACCACACCTCTGCAACTTTTCTAACACAAACACTGCATGCACATCTGATTTTAGTTTTTTCTAAGTATCTTTGCTTTCAAAGCAAACGAAGGAGAGGCAGCGAAAGGTCAAGCATCAAAGGGGTCTGGCTGAGATCCTTGGACACGAACATTACCAGAGGACAACAGCTTGCCAGAAAGCCGACAAAGTGATCTCTACCTGCTGTAGCACATTGCGCTCTCGTAGTGCCATTAGTCGCCTGTGAAGCTCCACTAATTCATCAGTGTAGGCCTGTAAAGGAGGCATGAACAGAAATAGTGACATATGTGGCCTGTTTGTATGACTGCCAAAGTGATTCTCCTAGTGAATGTCAGAGGAACACAAGGCCCTTTCAGACATGTTCCTATTCCAAATTTTTCACTGCCTCCTCCGTCCTTATCAAGTACTGGGGGACTAAAGACTTCATGTACGTACGGATGGTCTGAAGATCGTCAGCAAGACTATTTCATGACACCATCAAACACACACATGTAACCAGCTTTAAGAAGAGGTCAGAACCTTTGTGCTTAGAGGGCCTCAACAAGATGAAATTCAGCTCACTGAACTTCAGTGAGAGTTCTTCAATTACCTAAAAATACCTGCATCAATGCTCAGTGACCAACACCCCAGCAATCTACTGAACAACGATTTGTGTTAAGGTAAGGAAAAAAAATTATTTGAATGCCGTCTATTGCCAGTTAGTTTTACATATACCACAGTGGGAAATGCAGGATTGTTTACAAGCTCAACATTTTAATTGTTCTTATATCAGGATGGCTTTTTTCTTTTCTTATTTTTTATTTAAGCAGCCAACAAGACAAGTTTCTGTTGGCACACTATTGCTCACAGGGGACAGATTCTTAATGTGTAAAGCTGTCCCAGAGTTGTTCATGTCTGTCTCAGGAGAACCGAACTCATTTAAGTAATTGTACCAAGACAAAAAAAAAAAAATTAAAAAAATCCCAAACTCCTCCCAAAACATTTGGGAAATATACCCCCCTCCCCAGCACATTCATGCAGAAAAAAGCCTTTTTCCTAATAAAACACCCAAACAGTACTGCATGCTGTGCTTGCTGTGAGAGCTAGCATCTTTTATAAAACCTGTGACAGGCAGAAAAGCTGATGGTATTTTAGGCCCTCTCTTCAATGGGTCTCAAGGGTGTCCCCTTCTATCTATATTAAGGAATCTAATAAAAGATATTATTCCCTCCAGACCTTGCCCCAGATAAGCCATCTCAGCTATGGCTAACCGTGGAAGATTTTGTAGCTAGGAGGAGACTCGGATGTGAGTATCTCCTAGGTCGTGATAAGCCTGTGCTGTATTCTGTTGAAAAAGTATTAACACACACAAGTGAGAGCTACAGACTGATTCTCTGATTACTGTAAAGCCCTCAATGATTAGGCTAAGGAGAAGTATTAAGTTCCCACTTGATTGAATTCTTTATGAAAAAGTCACAGTGGGAGATCTTGCTGGACAACTTGGGTTTGGCTATTTGCTTGCGAGTTGGCCATGTACACTGCTCTGCTTTCCTTGGAGGCAAGAAAGAAGGGAATTTCATTGAACAAAGGTTTCAACTAAACCAGCAAAGCAGAGCATCCAACAATCTTTCATTTGTAAGATCAAAGACCAGACGAAAACAGCCTTTTAATGAAGAGGCAGTCAGCACTGCAGCAGCGGCCAGATCATTGGTTCACACAAAGGGCAAACAAATAGAACAATTTTAACGTTTTGCATATGGAGACAACCTGGGGGTCCATCTATTTAACATACACAATTTCTGCAGTGTCACTCTCCAAATTCTGTCCTTTCAACATCTGTTTTTCACTATACTCAGAACAATGTGAACAAGCTAGGCTGCTTCAAATTCTTTTCCACACAGAAACATTAGTGAATATCCAACAGTTCTACGATACGTAAATCCTCAAACATACCTTGTCATATGTTCCCTTCTTCAGGATCTTCTCTGGCTTGTTACAAGACTCTGGGCTTTTTCTTCCAGATGCCTGAGGGTAAAACAAATCAACATTAGGGACCAAAATTAGTTCAGACAACATGGTGGTTTAATGGTTTGGATGCAGAGCAGCGAACAGAGAGAAATTACCCGTCTGATGAAGACGGTGAAATAGGGGAAATTTGGTGCAAAACAGAACTAACGCCACGGACTGCACAGAATGCAGGAACCAGGAGTGGCGGAAAGTAGCATGGTATGGGCATGTAGGATGCTGTACCTTATTATTTGCTGGGGGCAGTTTCTGACCAGGAGGTGGCTCTCGACTTGGCAGGCAGGAATCTGCACTGTTATCGCTGTCGCTGTCACTAAGGCTCAGTCTGAAAAACAAGCAGCAGAGAATTAGCACCACTAGGTAACAGGAAACTTACTTAGCTGTCACCTGAACCACACAGAGTTAAGTGAAATTCTCTTCTTTATTCTAGACTACTAAATTGTCTGGGAGAAACTCTCGGTCTGTAGTTTCCAAGAATCTCTTTTTTCCCCAGCTGATGTCACCTTTGCCATTTTCCATTCCCTGGGCAGGTGGAGTAGGAAGTTTTAGTTTATGCATTACAGCTAGCAGTTCAACTCTTTCATACAAAAGTCCCCTTAGAACAACTGAGTTGTTCTACAACAACAGCTGATTTTCACAAACAAGCAACTGATCATTTTGAGGATTAATTCCAAGATCACCGAGTACCTGTGCAAGACGCTTACCAACGCCTCCCCTGAGAACACACGCAGAAAAATGTATTTTGTGACCTTTGAGATTTCCTGTTTATTCTCATTCTTCTTGTGGCCCTACAGATGTATTATAGCAGGTATCTTACTTTTGATGAGCTTGAAAAAACTGTTTGTTACCTATCCCCTAAAGGTATAAAAAATCCCATCCTTCAAACTGTCTCCATTCCTGTTTAGTTGAAAATGACAGAGTGCAACAACAGATTTTTTTTTTGTTTGTTTTTGGTAAACACAAGCACCATTTGAAATTTGCAGCTGCAATCTGGGCCAAGCATTTGGTTTCAAATATTCAGCCTGAGACAACAGCGTTTCCTGAGGACAGAAGAATGAAATTCAACTACTTCCATTGACTAAAGCAGGAAACAGCTGTTAACCAAGTCCCTTAGGAGTCAAGTAACCAACTGTCAGCACACACTAACAGCAAAGACTAAGATTTCCCAGTTTTGTATCGGTAAAACGCAGTAAGAAGAGCACACATGCTGACAGCCTCCAGAACACTTCTCTAATCTCTGCAGATCAAAGGTGCCACACACCGTTCAGCTCAGCAGAGATCTGAAGATGACAATTAGGTGACTATTTTACAGGGCTCAGTCACCAACACCTGCAAGCTCAACACACACACTTCCCAGTGGCTTCTTCTCTTTGAGCTCTGGTGATCTCTACTCATCTAATTCTGTTCTCACCCTGCTGTTTTCACGGACTCTGTGTCCCTACCCTGTGCTAAGTACTCCACACATCTGCCCCTTCTCTCCTTGTCTCACACTTTCCTCTCCGTGCAGCCCCATCACTTTGATCCCTCCCTCCAAACGGAAGGCACACAAAAATACCAAACGTGGAGGACAAAAAGACAACAAACATCTTTCTTCCCGATTTGTTACCACCTGGAATCCCGGCTGACTGGGTTTGCTTTGACTGCTGCCTCTTCTCCAGAGGAGCTGTCATCATCATCCGACTCCTCTGACTGCAGATCTTCCACCATGGAGCGCAGCGGGCCTGGGATCAGAGGGGAGAAAGCAATTCAACACTAGGACACATGCAAAACCCCATCTGAGCTATCTGATCCAAACTGGATTAGTTATCATTAAGATACATCAAGATTCTTCAGTAAGATGTCACTGGTATTTTAATTTTGCACAAGGATATTGCTAAAAGATGCTGCATTCTAGCCTCAAAACTCAAGCGGAGTTGACAAACCCCATAACTGCTGTAAAGTTCCCCTACCCGCTCCCAAATCCTCCCACTCTCTTCTGAAATGAAAACAAAAGGACACATTTTTCACACATTTGGGGACTATTTTAAACATCTCTTGAGACAGTATTTGTAGCAACACAGCATTTGCTGAGGTTAGAATATTTACTATTGCCACAGTGTATCTCTTTGGATTATCAGTGGATGAAGCTGAAAAAGAAGCTATGTTATGCACTGGCAAAGTGATGAATGTCACATTTATAATTTTTAATAAAGTATATATGAAATTGGAGAAGAAATATTCTGGTGACACTATAGATCAAGCAGCAGCAAACACACTTATAAACCGAGGCAGAAACCAAAGTCAACAGGGAAAGAACCAAATCCAGAGAGATACCCTACTCATAAATTCACTGTCAAAACAAGAAAAATACTTGTTCATGATTACACTATAACATTATCGCCTTTTCTTGCTGAAGCGTCACAGCTTCAACACATGGTTGCACACAAGAAACCACATTAACCTTATATATGGTGCTGGGAAAACAGATCTAATGAGCCTTTCAGGTTATGCAAGGAAGAGTTTAACAATTTTTATTTCTTGCAACACACCTTGACTGTGGTTCTGAGATGGCTCGAAATCAGAGTCAGAGCTGGAGTCGGAGCTGGAGCTGGAGTTGGAAGGGCTGGACTGGACAGACTTAACCCCCCATAAAAGGGAAAAAAGAAAAAGAATCTTAACCTTTCTAATCCAGAAAACCAGCGCAGAGCACAAAGCACAGTGAGACAGAAGCATTTGAACACTCTACAACATCATACATAACTGAATGCAGTCCTTGGAACTACAGAAAACATACAAAATGCAAGGTGGATAAAAGCAACGTTTATGAAAAACTTTGGCATGCTGTAGCTCAGCACTCCTGGGCAGCAACATCAACAGCTCCCACCAAAACCCTTCACGCCACTAGTTTCAAATAGCCACAAGTGATGAAATGCAGCATCTGAAAAATGTCAAAGTGAAAAAACCCTTACTTTGAAATGTGAAGGATGACTAGCATACAGCCTAGAACAATTAGCAAAGCCCTCTTAAAAAGTGTTTTTATTGTAACCCACAAACATTCCCCTGAACACCTCGTACTGATCATTAAACATGGAAAGTATGTCTATCCTAACTAGCTCACTTGACTCCAAAATTACTTCTAATTTATTACTATACCCTCAAATCAGCTGTTTCTACACCAATTGGAGTGATCCACATGCTGTCTCCACCTTACTGTGAAAACATAACAGAAGCCAGCTAAACTCTTGTGAAACCAACTCCACCGACTGTCAGTATCCAGCAGAAATGCCAGGAGATGCTGTAGTAAGAGTGAATAAAAAGATATAATAAACTGCTGCGAATAACAGCATCCAGAAACAAAGTTTCTGTGCTATGGATGGGGTTTTTTTAAATATAGATCCAGGTGTGGTATAGCAATCAGATGCTTTAGCTTAAAGGACCACGAGGTGGCAGCGAAGGTTAAATCAACTGTTTCATCCCCAAGAGCAGCAGGGACTTCTACAGTATCTTAAAGGGGTTTTTTTGTTATTCAGTAGAATCTAGTTTTGAGATTCTCGATGTCCTGTAATATTATCTTGCTTTTTTAAAAGTAATTCTCTGGAAATTTAGCATTTCGATGTCCTTGCACCATCCCTGGGAATCCACCTATTGCTTCCATTACCAAATCCCAATGCTAGAAAAATCACACATTCCCACTGATCAATAAACTTTATTACAGAAAGCGTTAATACTATAAACAGGTAGAACGAGGCACATCAGCAGCTTTCGACATTAATAAGCGAAAGCAGTGGCATGACTTTCATCCCTATACCACCCTTCCCTAGAATTTAATCACCCAAGTATTGTTAGACTTTCATTTATTCATCTGTAAGAAGGCAGGGAAAAATGTCAAAAAGGGGTATCACGACCCTTGTAAATTATTCAGCAAAGGAGAATAATTTAACAATGCCAATATCTAATGTATTGGCACATTGCAGCAGCCCAATTTTTTTAGAAAAATTACAACAAGAAAACAAAGAGCAATATTCTCAAGATATGGGAGCACACCTCTTGTATTTTACCCACAGTTTAATCCCATCATCCTTTACTCCTGATAATCTGGCAGGTATTGCCTTAAAATGACTTAACAGGACCTAAGAAGCACAAGTTGGAAGTTGTTCAGACTCCCTGTCTCTCCTTTTGCCATTAACCCTATCAGCTATTTCAACCGTTCAGGAGGCACACAGCTGGATACGCTCTGCACAGTTACTGTCACCGTGATATGACAAAAGCACATGCCGACAATGGAAAAAAGCAAGCCTGCCCTCACATCTCAGCCTCTCCCTTTTGTCAGCACTAGCATTTAGGCAGCCAAGCATGAGGCCAGTTCAGGGATCTGGACTCGATGGGGGAAGGAAAAAAAGGAGGAGGCAAAAAAAAAAAAAAAAAAAAAGGACGGACGACTAACTTTCAGTAGGAGCTGAAACGGAAGGAGAAACTCCTCTAGCCCATTGCGAAGTCACACGAGCTCTCAGGCCAGCAGTACAAATGAGAGCAGGACTGTTCCTTTCAACAGCAGCCTGCAAAGATGTCAACTCAAAGCAATCGTGGAGTTGCAGCCTCAGAGCGTGTTGCACAATAACGTTGGCTGCAGCAGCAAAGCTGATTTAAGAGTTTCCGGGCCCCGGTCCACCTCCAGCTGTTCATTCGCTTTAGTGATGTGGCTTACCACACAGATCCACAAACAGCTGTACCAGTACGAACGATGGAGTAGCAAACTGCAGCACTGGGAGCAAAAAGAACCCCCAGGGTGGAAAAGGAACTCGGTCTCCTCTGCTGATGTCAATGCATTATGCAGTTACACCCTTAAGCTTCAAGTTCCACAGAAACCTAAGCTGATGTGACTGGCGGCTACCGCAGTTCCCCCTCCATCGCACTGAGTATTCCTACCCTCCTTCTGGGCTAGCACTCAAATACCTCTGTCAAGCATCCAACAGACACAAGAATTGGTGCAAGAGAGGACACGGAAGCATAAAGAGCTGGGGGGGGGGTGTGTGTGTGGCAGGGGGTGTGTGTGGGGCAGGACAGGACTGCCGCAGCCGCTGTGGAACCACAACCACAGTTTGTGGTTTCACGGAACACTCTAAACAGCACTATCAGCTGCACGGCAAGTCCCAAGGGGATGGATGACACCTAAGAAAGAATGAAGTACAAGACACTCAGGACCTAACAGACACCAGCAGAGTACAGAAGCTCGCAGTGAGGGCCACGTATCTGGTACAGAAACAACAGGCTTGCTACACACTGACGCACTTCAGGTATAAGGTGAAGAGTGGAGAGGAGCTGCCTCTTTTTAATGCACAAGCTACACCTTTAATCAGTCTGGAAAAAAAAAAAAACATCTTTGTGGAGTAACTTGAATTAACACTTCCCCAATAAACTCTTCTACTGGGAAGCTTTCAAAAAAAAAAAATTCCTTTCTGAAATGAACACATCAATACTTACTGTATCATGGTGGTGATTAAATCATAATATGAATTGTCCCTAGAAGATTTATTCTAGTAAAGCAGATCTTTCTAAAAGTGGTCAGTAGGAAGCAATTCAAAAGTTCACCTGATATCCTGTGAATTCTATTAGGAGATATGGCTTCTTTATAGCAAATACAAAATATGCAAGCAAAACACAGTGAGAGTTTGGATTTAAGTTGTATCTTTCCCTTTTTTTTATTTTTTGCCTTCTTTTGGAAAACAATTTTTAGAAGACAGAGGATGAGAAATGTTCTTAGTTGTAAAAAGAATAAAAATATTTAGATGGCTTTTAAAAATAGCAGTACAATAACATCATTTGTTTTATGTTTTACAACGCAACTTACTTAGGTCTAGTGGCGTGTGGTTCTATTTTGAGCTTTAGCCAATGGCACATTTCTTACAGACCATGTCAGGAATAGGGGGTTTTATTTACATTTTAATACTGTGTTTTTCAGAAACACAATGGAAATGATTTCTTCCTTTTCTGAATTAAGATGACATTCAAAACCATTATGTTGTTATAAGCAGGTACAAAGTGTATCTACACCCACTATACTCTAGGACTATAAACGTTATTGCAAGAGATGAACATCATAACCTTAAACTCTGACTTTTAGGTAATTCTGCCAGCAGATAAACCTAAATAGAACTGCATATCTGAAACAGGAGGCAAACCAGGTTAGCAGTAACAATTAATACTGACAGGATTTTCAAAAAATAGTTTTGAGATACAACCCAGCCTAAGCATTTGCCAGTCTGGTTCTCTATCTTATTTAAGGGACAATTTTTTAACATCTTTTTCATGCAGGGATTTAAGCAGCATGCTTAAAAATTCTGGTAAAGGACAAATCCCTACTCACCTCTGACTTGAAAGAAGTTTCATCCTCCGAATTTGACTCCTCCATTTCCACAGGCTTTTTGATCTCCTTGGCCTCACTTTCAGATTTTACCTTTTCCACTTTGGCATTCATCTTCTCCTTGGTTTGTTTCTTCTCTGGATATGAGGAAGACGAGGTTCTGGGAGATGTCCCTAGGATATTCTTTACCCCTTTGGAGCTACTCTTTTTTTGTTTTTTGGCACTAGGCTTTGGTGACTCCACGTTGGAGGGCCTCTTGCTGGAAGACTTTAACTCCGGCTGTGGCCCACCCTTTGGAGAAGTGTTCTCCAGTTTGGTCTCCTTCACGGCCAGTTTTGGTTCCTTGAAAGCAGCTTTTGGAGGTGCCTTCTCCTCCTTAGGCAGTTTGTTCTCAGTTGGTTTTCTGGAGGAGTCCTTCAAAGGCTTGTTTTGTTCTCTTTCAAGGTCTTTGGAGGAGTTTTTACTCTCAGAGTCTTTTCTTGGCCTCTCTCTGTGCTCCTTGGTTACCTTGTGTGGCTTAGATGCCTTGCTACTTTCCTTGTTTGCATCCTAAAATTCCGCAACAGAAACATGCAAGCTAGGTATGAAACTGAAGCTCTGCACAGAATTATAAAACACATTTTCATAAATCACATTGAAGCATTTGTTTCACGTAGACATCCACCCACACACGCCTAATGTACTTATCTACCTCTGAGGTAGACATCTAGATTTCCCAAAAGCTGATGGACAGAGATTGACAGTAGGCACTTAAACATCTACATTAGGACAGGATGAAATGTGTTTCACAAATGCCTGTTCCTTTCCATCATCAATAAAAGGAGGTCTATAAACATCCACAGTGTTCAGTTCTGATTTAATCTGCAAGGTTAATATCTGTAGCCAGATAAGAGGAAACCTACTCAGGCTGTGTTACACAAAGTTATACTTCATACCACATCTTGGGGAAAAAACCCCAACAAACCAGCAACTAAAGCAAGTTTTAAGGTTAAATCACGCCCATGGCAAATGCAAGTTATGTTCGCAGCTTAGCCCCCAACTCGCCACCTCAACAACACAGCAACTTGACAAACATACTGCATGTACCCACAACCATAAGAGCGCCAAACTCTCTGATATCAGCAGGCATTTTATCACCTCTAATAAGAGCTTTAAGGCACCACTCCTTAGAACCCTGCCTATCTCAAGAGTCAGGTATGTGTGAAGGCAAAGGAGTACTTCCCTTTGCAAATTATACATGAAGTCAAAACACTTTAGAGAAGCGGGTCTTGGGAGACACTGGAGTATGACCTGGACAGGCAGACATGCAAACACACACGCATCTCTGATGGCAACCTGAGAAAGGGAAAAGCAGGAGACTATCGTCTCTATAGCTACTGGCAATTTTCACCAGTGCATGTGTCAGAGCCCTTTACTTCTGCTGTCTCTGTTTTCTAATGCTTAATTCCTGACCAAAATTAAATCAGCCACTGACAGACAAGTCATCTTTATTCTGTTTCATAACATCAACATCAGAAGACATGACCAAAGTGCCAGAAGTGTTCAGAGCCCTGAACAAAATGGATATCAAAACTGAATTACAGCATAAATTGAACTGCTGTTAATATTTGTGACTGTTCCGGCTGATAAAGCGCGTGTAATCTGCTTCAAAACACATTGCCTGTGGATTGTTTCTCCTATGTAGAATTACATAAAAATAGCTTCATCAGATAAGTGAAAAAAAGAAAACTTAAAACTTCTTCTGAAGTCTCAAGAACTAGATACTGCTAGATGCAAACATCAAATCTTGAAATCACTAGTTTGGCCAGCATATTTTAATGTTCTGGACCTTCTACCAGAAGGTCTTTACACCACTACCCTACATAGTCCTAATGATAGGGGAAGTTCTGACTCTCTACTCAGCCTTGTTGCAAAGAGATGCAAGGACTTAAGAGTACAGCTTTACATGACAGGCAGCAAAAGATCCACCTCACTCATCCTCAGCATCAACGATACAAGTCAGAACAATCAGAGAGGATTTCAGTCAACTTTATGTGCTATAGCAGATCAGGAGGAAGATACGGCTCACCAAAGAAATCCCAGTCTTGGACATTTAATTTTCTTTTGAAAATTTCCCTGTGGAGAAGTCTAACAAATCATAAAAAGGCCTCCTAAATTATAGAATCATAGAATGGTTTGGGT